TATTAACCCCTGTTACTGTTTAAAAGGTAGGAATCCATATTTTGAAATTTTAAAAATTTTTAAAAAAATATAATAAAAAAAATAAAAGCCTTACCTGGCCACCCCATGCTGGGGGCAATGCCTCCTCCTTTCTGCTGCCATGGATCCTGGTAACTTCTACCCAAACACCCTTCCCCATTGTCTTTATTGCTTCCCTTCCTGTGTCACCCCATTGAACAAACTGTGTACTCCTGGAATGCAGGAGTATGCTACCAATTGCTATGTTCTGGATCTATCCCTATATGTACAGACCATTGGAGAATACTTGATTGAAAAAAACAATAATTCAATTAAATGTTACTGGATAAAATTATTTTACAAGATGGACTGGACAATGATTTCTTATTTCAGAACATGTCCACTACAGCTCAGCAAGAGAAAATGGCCTTACTGCCTCACTTATCTCAGTCTGAACTCAGTTTAGGAATGACATGATAAAATAATATATGCTGAGCTACCTGTTCCTGCCATTAGCTAACTTACTCCTCAAGACTTCTTTCTAAGAAATGTAATGTTGTGGGCTTCTGCCACTGTAATTGAGGAGGGCTCTCAGCACAGAGTATCAGAAGAATTCAATCAAATCACAGAATGAAAGAGCAATAATTCCCCTCCAGGTACGGTCACCACTGATAGGGTACAATTTACTATCTCTGTATTTATTTTTGGAATACAAAAGCAACTTTGCCATATGGTGTTCCTTTACTGATTACAATTTATTTTAGCTAAGGTACAAGGTAGAATATATATATTAGGGGATACCAAGTTCTGTCTTAGGGTTCAAATGTACCTTTTGTACTTCTTTGGCTATAGAAAATATGAAGCTGTGAAATCATATTTAACAATTATAAAGTATTGTTGCAGAATCATTTGTTTCCTGTCTATTTACTCCTAGTTTAAATATTTTAAAATTTACTTATGAATTCTAAAGTAAGATTCTGTCCCAGGATGATTTAAATCTTTATTATTTCATGGCTGTTCATTTAATCAAACAGATGTAAATTAATTTGAAGGCAAATAATTAACAGATTTATTTAACATTTTTTGAAATAAGATTAACTTTAGAATTAAAATTAACTCAAAACTGCCTTTAAAAATAAAAAAAAATGCCAAGTAAATATGCTAGGTCTACAATTTAGTTATTTGGACTTCTATGCAAATGCTTGTGTGCAAAAAACAAAAACTTGTTTAAATTTGAATTTTTATATAGGAACATTTCCCTACTATGTCATCATAAATCTCGTCTCTGAGCTGGTGCTCAACATGAAGTTAAGACTGTTAGGTTTTGATTCATTTGGTACCAGATTTAAATCCCTCTCCACCAATTATTAGCTGTGAAGTCTTGGGACATTTATTTGCTTTCTTTATGCCACAGTTATCTCATTTGGAAAAACCTAAGCCATAGATCATTTTTAAGAATTATATAATGCATGTGACTTGCTTACCATGGCTTAACACAGAGTAAGCGTTTGACAAATGATTGATCAGTTGGTGTCTTTTTTTCCCCCTTCACTCTGCTTTTCTTGCCATTAAAATGTAGGGATCGTAGGTTGCTCTTAAAATTCTTCTGGACAAGAATACTAAACTCCAGAAAATGCTACAACAATGAGTGAGCTTATTTATCCTGTTTACTTACCCTATTTTTTTATTATAAGTCTAGTATATTGTGCACAACATTCTAACAGATTGATTCAAATCTGAAAGAATGAATGAATGAATGGCCTTTCTCCTAGGTGGAAAATAGGCAAGCTCAGAAAGTAAAAATAATTCATATTATAGACTAACTGCTCAATGAGGAAGAAATAGACTGGAAGACTTCCAAAGTTCATTTCAATTAAAAACTGCTGAAATATCCTTGTAAAACTAGGAAATATTTAGGAAGCCACAGAGAACACATAGAAATTCTTTTTTCATCCTTACAGGCCTTGTCTATACAAATTAGGATTTAAAATATACACACTAAAAATAAGCAAAGTGGGAGACAGAGAGAGAGAGATTATGCACAGTGATTTTTCTTCCTTACATTGAGAAATTGTCTTCTTTACTGCAAATATATCTAATTTATCTGGATATGTGAGCATGTAGGCATGCTCCGTAACAACTAAAGGGTATTTGTTAAGAATAGAGAGTCTTATCTCTTTTTTAAATTTTTGCTTATAAATTTTTGAATTATAAATAAAATAACACACTTCAAAAATAAGGCAGGGAGGATAACTAGTCTCTTAGGCCATCGGTTGTCCTAACCCTTCCTTGTTAAATTCCTGTAGACATATTTGTAACACTAGGTATCTCTTTTCCTTGATGTTTATGATCAGACTGCTGTCTCAAGTGCACATCCAGGTATATAGTTTACAACTCCTAACAATCCCAAATTCAATAATACAAAAATTCTTTGTTCTCAACAAGTACAAATTTATTAGAAGAAACTTCTAATATGTTTGCATTAGAAACTCTACAATATTGCTAAAACAAACAAATGATTGATGATGTTCATATCATGAATGTCATATTAATTGAAAAACACAAAAGATACTGTCATTTCTAAAACATTGCAAGTTATAGAACATATGTCCATAAAATAATTTTTGTTAATTGGGTAATTTGGTGAATTGGTCATTTGACAAATTGCTAAATTGGTGAAGGATTAACTTGCAATTAATCTATAGTCCTTTTCCTAAGATATTTTAAAAAATATCCTATCATGTAATACTTAAGCACGCAGCTCTAGAGTCAAACTGTCAGATTTCAAATCCCAACTCTGACACTAAATAGGTGATTAAATGATTACCTCTCCACCTCAGTTTTAGAGTGATGACTCAGTGACATGATCTATACAAAGCATTTAGTACAGTACCAGGAACACTGAAAGCACAAGAATATTAACCCCTGTTACTGTTTAAAAGGTAGGAATTGACAGTTGGAGTTTACTATACTTAGCCTGGTAATTTTATCTTTGAAACTTCAGAAGTAGCATCAATAGTACCATGTGTGAGAGATCCTGAATATAATTCAGTGACTAAATTTTTGCTGTGATTTTTAAATTGATTTGTTTTATTGTGCATTCTTATAACTATGAATCAATTGACCAAAAGAATATTTGTAGGTTTGGGATTGAGTTCTAATAATTAAGTCCTATCATATGACTTTGTAATTAATTTAGTTAATTTTCTTATTTTAGTTTTTTGATAACCTTTGTCACTTTTTTTTCATGACTTAGGTCAACGTTGCTCCCCTACTCCAAAATGATTATAGTTAGATTTATTTTTTAGAATGTAAATTATCAGACACAAGGTGCCATCTTATTAGCAAGAGCTTCAGAATTTGTTGTGGTTATCATGATTTGCAAAAAGTATACATTAAGAATGTAGGTTAACTATTTTCAATATTCGTGGGAACATTTTATGGTTCAGAAAAGTGTGTTTCAATATATTTGGCACATTTTAAAAACTAAGTCCACTCACGCCAGGAGACTTTATGAACTGAAGATTTGCAACATCAGCAATATCTGCAAATACCAAAACCTCATTATATGTTTTTACTTGTGTTAACATTTTAACATATTTTCCAACTAAATTTCCAGTGATTTTGGAGCTTTAACTTATTATTATCATTGTATTGTTCTTTAAAAAACACAAAAACCAAAACCCCCTCTCAAAAAAAAATGATATACAATGGGACATCAAATGTTACCAATAATAGGACTATACAACTACATGAGATTATTGTGAAAAACCTTAAAAATTCATAAATGGCAGAACGACATAAAATGTCAATTGAATTTTACAAATAATTAAAAGCTTCTGATAACATTTTTAATAAGAACATGGCTATTTTATACAGAGTCTAAAATTCATAATTCTATATTTGACACAGCATAGAAAAAGCTAAGGAAATGATTTCATTATTTATTTTAATTTAAAGACACTATGCAACAATTGTAATCACTGATAGAAAGCAATAATTTAATTGGTATGCCCATTTAAGAAATTAAGAATTCATAGATTTTGTGATACAATAAAATGAATGGACCAAACCATTGTATTCAATGTGTTAATTGTGTGCTACGGTGAGTACTATCATCAGTCATCCAAGCTGTTCTGCATGTCAGTTCTCTGGGCCTCAGTTTCTTTGTCTGCATATGAAAGTGGCTGAGTGAGATGAGCCCTGACATGCTCTCCATTGATGAGTCTCAATTTAGGGCTACCTTAATTAATATTGACTAATGCTCTAGGGGAAGGTATTCCCTAATACATAATATATTAATAAAACCAGTTAATCAGTAAGACTGGCAGGTTTAGAGTTTATTGGATGTGATTGGAAGGTATTTTTCCATTATGGAAATCTATTGTTCATTTGCTTCTTCTTAATTTGGTTTATTAATTTATGTGGGTTTTAAAAATATGTTACATGATTATAATTTTATTGTGTGATTGTATTAGAGGCACTCACGATACTCTTAATAAAATAATCCAACAGATGAAAGTGTGTTTTACTCCACACATTTATTTTCAAATATGCTCTTCATTCAAGCTGGATTTTGACAAATATTCCTAAAAATTTGACAGTTTTATATAATAACTTAAAAATGATACATAGATAGCTTAAAGAAAATTTGCATATTTGTGTTCCCTAGAAAAGATAATACTCAGAAAACAGAAATCCAAACAGCACTTGGATTTAACTTGTACTTGCAAGCCAGCAAAGCACTTTAAAAGTAAATCTAGCTTTATTGGTGTCTCCTGAAAGCAGTAGAAACTATTGGATTTTTAATTTCTAGAGATCTTAGGGGAGAACTGTTTTCTGAGCATTTTCTGTTTTTTCCAGAAGACAGACTTATTGACATTTTTATTATTGATTTATTTAGTATACCTGCCTTTCATCTTCACATGTTTCTTCTCTCTCTCCCTTCCCCTTTTTGTCTAGTATACAGTATGGACTGCCCTCTGGGTCACCTGGAATGTGTTCATTATCTGCTTTTATTTGGAAGTAGGTGGGCTCTCTAAGGTGAGTTTATCATGCTTTTAAAGTAAATTTTTTTGAAATCAGTGCATTTGTAAATAAGTATTGTGACTATATGCTATTGTTATATTTATATATATAAATAGAGTAATGAAATACAAGTCATGAAAGAGTTCGGGTGCCTTTCAGAAAAGAATGATCTCGGGAGCGTGTTACTATAAAGGAACTTCAAAGCGATTGCCGTATGATTTAGTTTGTTATGCCAAAGTAAGACTCGGCTTCCAGTGTATCCTTGTGTCCATTTTAAAAAAACATAATGTCACAGTGACCATGACCCCAAATATTAAGTGAGAAATGGTTTTGAACATGCTTGTGTTTAAAGTAGGAACAGGAATGGACTAAGATGTTAATTTACAAACAGAAATGGCAAGTTACTATATTTGTTGGAATATTAGCTGTGAAAAAAAAAATTTGACAAAGAGTGAAAACATGTTAAGTGGAGCACACATTTACTAACAAGTAAATGTGTCAGTGTAGTGATTCCTATTTTCAAATCCTGATCGCACAGAAACAGTTGTCTTAACGCAGCGTGATAGCCATGTTATTTCTCTGTCTACAACTGCCAGCGGGGCACATGATTTTATTACAACTCCTGCAAAAAGTTCTCACCACCCAAATTTATGAGTAACATGCGTTAAGTTTCTAGTTGTGTTTCTTAAACAGTTTTCTTGTAAACCAGCACAATTTTTGCTGTAGTTAAGAAACTTAACAGTATAATTACAAACAACATAAGAAAGCTGTCATTTTTTTAGACTTCTCATTATCAATTACGGTTGATATTATTATTATCAATAACTTATTCTATTGTTTTATGACAATCTCCAATTTTCTAAGTAATGTATTTTTGGTTTAGATATTAAAAAAAAAATCCGTCTTGACTAGCATGGATACTTTTAGAATTGTTTGGTTCTATTGAAGTCCATGTGGTAACGAAGCATATTTAATTCAGCCAAGCAGCAAAAATCCCTGAAGGATTCTTTTTTTTTTTCAGAATCTCCAGAAGTGAATACTCTTGTTTTCTACACTATAACAACCACAATTAAACTTGTCATCACTTTCTTACATTGGCAAATGTATTTGGGAACCAGAAATGACATTTTCAATACTGAGTTCCATGCATATGTACTAACATCTATCTTAAATAATTGTGCTATTGATCAAATTTCACTACTAATTTCTAAGACAGAAAAAAGTACTTAAATGATACCCAGTTATCTTCTCTAAATGCAGATTATGAAATAAGTGATTTTAAAGTATAAATTTTACAAATAAAAAACTATGAATAAGTTAAGCACAACATTTTCAATCTACAGTATTTTATATCTTGTGATTTGAATGGTCATGTTCAAGCATATCTTATATTTCACTACGTGTAAATTATCTTTTATTTTTTCTATATGAACTGATTTGGAATAAATTAGACCACAGGAAACTTATCTTATGGAATTAGCATCGTGGTGTGTTAATAGAAGCCTGAATTTTGAATCATAAATCTTTAGTTTAAATGTTGTCTTTAGCGCTTGGTAACCATGGGCCCATGAGTCTCTGTGAAATATAATAATAGAACCAGCTTTGCCAGTAATGATAATAGTCATGTTTATTGGGTGCTTAGCATTGTTTATGTACATCATATGTGGTAACTCAGGTAAGCTTCACCAGAACCCTGTGAAGCAATAAAAAATAAATAAATACCAGCAGTTATTTGTTCCTTACAAGTCTGATTTCCCACCACTGCTCAAGGTTATTCTTGTGAACTGCTTTTTGTAACTGCTTTTCTAATATCGATGTGCATGTCAAAGTGTTTTTTTCTCATTTATTTGGGTTCAAGGTTAAAAAAATGGACATAGTAGTCCTGGTTACTCCTTTTATTACCCATTCAAATGGCATTAAGCAGTCAATCAAGTATTCTAGGCTATTAAAAAGATAGATAACTTCAAAAGACACATCCTAAAGATTTTCTGTTGGTCTCTCTATTTACTACCTCAAAGAATGGTAACATCTTCCTGATTAGCCACAAAACAGCCTCAATTTCAGTCTGTAGAAAATCTATTCTGAAAAATAGAGCAGAGATAAGGACCCTTGACAAACACAAATACCTCTGCCACCCTTCCAGGTGTCAATTCCTTGTCCAGGTGTGCTGGTTTGTATACTAACCTTACAGAGCTCTGCCATCTCCTACTCATTCATACAGGCATTTCTTAGACTTACTCATTCAGAGAGATTAATAGAAGTCTCCCTGTACCTTGATTTTTGCACAAAACTTAGATTCTGGAATAGTTAATCTTTCTCTAAAAGCTGGATTCAGAGTAATTTCTACAACATCTCTATGAATTTGGGTGTTATTCCAATGACAGACATGGCCTATAAATGGTCGATTTGTACTCCATGGAGCCCATTTGCTAACAGTTTGCATACCTGGAGTGAAAACAGCCTCGGTTCACCTGAAAGTAGTGAGCAATCCTACAGGCAGGAGGGCTACAGCTGTTTATATTTTAAAAGGTTGTTTTAATTTCTAGTAAGATAAATATTGATAGATATAATTTACATAAGCAAAAGCTGTTTGGGATCCTAATTAATTTTTAAGAGTATGAAAAATGTACTGAGGCCGGAAAGTTTGAGAATCACTGCCACAGAGTAACCAGTAAAATTAATTAAATAAATAAACAAATGAAAATAATATAAACAACAAAAGCAAACAGTAACAAACCAAAACAGATAGTACACAAAAAAAAAACAAATAATAATATGGTGCATTAAAATCCAATCATATCGATAATTACATGAAATGTAAATAGACTAAACACTTCAATTAAAGACAGGGATTAGAACACTGGACTTTAAAAAAGTACTCAATGTTATTTATATGAAATAGACTTTAAATATAAATACATACATACATTGAAGTTAAAAAGAAGAAAAATATATGCTATGCAAATCTCAATCAAAAGACAACTCTTTGTGGTCATATTAATATCAAGAAAAAAAAAGTAGGCTTCAAGCCAAGGAGTATGAAGAGAGATAAAGAGAAATGCTGTATAATGATAATGGGGTCAATGTATCAAAAAGACATAATAATTCTAAACTATACCAAATAACAGAATTTTAGAACACATGAAGCAAAAATTGACAATACTAAAGGAAGAAATTGACAAATCCACAAACACAGGTGGAGAGTTCAACACTCCTTTCTTGGCTATTGATAGAAAAAGTAGACACAATTCAGGAGAAATCAAATATTTGAACAATACTGTCAACCAACTTGTATAGGACATTACACCGAAAACTACAAAATACATTTTTAACTCCAGCACATATGGAACAATGACCAAAATTGTATTCTGGGCCATAAAAACATCTCAATAAATGCCTAATAACTGAATAATACAGAGACTCCACAGTAATTTCAAATTTGTTGTAAGATATCTAGAAAAATTACAAGTGTTTGGAATTTAAGGCACATACTTTAAAAGAATCCACAAATCAAAAAAGAAATTTAAAAGAAAATTTTAAACTATTTCAAAGTATGTAATGAAGAAAACACAGAAAATTCATATTTTTGGATTAATGCAAAGCAGTATTTAGAGGAAAAATATAGCTTTAAATGTATATTAGAAAAAAAGTTAAAAATCAGTGATACATAACCTTCCATTTTAAGAAATAGAAAGAAGAGTGTAAAAAAATGTACTGAGGCCAGAAATGAGATACCACAGTTGGCTCTTTGAAAAGATTAATAAACTGACAAGCTCATAGTAAGATTGTTCAAGAATAAAAAAAGAAACAATACAAATAATATCAGTAAAGAAAGAAGAGATATAACTACAGATCCTACAGAAATTAAAAGACTAACAGAGGGGAAGGAGGCTCAAGGTGGCTGACTAGAAGCATTTCATGCCTGCCTTCTCCACTTAGAAGAGACAGAACAATGCATAGACAGTCACACTTCAACTACATCACCCAAGAGAGAATTCTGGAATGCAACAGAGAAGTGACAGCAGAGGGACACCAAAAGCAGGGGATAAGAAAGAGAAGCAGCCTCTGTGGCTGAAAAGGACTGGGAGCCCAGAGTGACTTTCCAATGCAGGCAAAGAGTGAGGGAGAGCCTTCCAGTGGCCCCACTGTCAAATCACACAATCCTAGCCTCAGGAAGAACCCTCTTGACTTCCCAACCCCTAAAACTAACAAAGGGAGCTGCTAGGATAATATGAATGGAACTATTCCAGGAAGGGAGCCAACACTGGGGCCCACAACCTTTCTGAGACCTTAGCAGCTACAGCAAGGTGCCATTTTCAAACCTAGCCTCTGGCAGATTGCATGCTGTCCTGGGGCATTACAGAAACTCTGGCTGTCACTGCTGAGGCCTGGGAGTAACTGGCAGTGATTCTGTATCTAGGAATAGGAAGTGAGCAAGGAATGGGCAGTAGTGGCTGGTGCAGGAAGGGAGAACTGCCAGGATTTGAGATAGGACATGAGCAGGCCACAAGTTGCCACCGGGACTCAGCTATGAGCTAGGTGGGGGCTCCTACAGCCAGGGCATATGGGGAAAGCCCTGCCAGGACTGGGGCTTGAAGGGAACATGCATGCTCCACCAACTGGCCCAGGCAGTGGCCACCAAATATGACCCAGCCTCTCCATTGGTGGGGTCTCAGTGTAAGTGCGACTGCCTCTCACTCAAGCACTCCATCTAAGGCCTGAGAATCACCCCACATCACCCACCATGGTTAGTGTCTGCTCTCACCATTGGAGAGTCTGAACACAGCCCACCCAGCCTGACTGGCCTCACCCCACCCCCTAAAGACAGAGCACATAGTCCAGGGTTCTTGGGATTGCCCAACACAATCCACCACCTTGGGTACCTCAGCACTACTCCCCAGGGACCTGAAATTGAGCCTAAATTTCCTAGCCCCTTCCACCTCAGCTGGCACATACTTGCCAGCAACACTTATGGGCCTGGAGACTGGCCATTGAAGCCAAAACCAACACACAAT